CTATCTATCTATCTATCCATCCATCTATCTTCTACATTTAATTGATTTACGTCTGTGCTGTCCATGGGAAGGTTGAAACGAAACTTTCGCAGATTGCGACCCAAGCAATGAAAACACTGTCTATACAACTGAGACGGGGAGGCTTTTCATTTGACTCCTGCTGCGTTTCCCTGCAGATCCCCTGGAACTTTCTGGTTTGACATTCTGAGCCTCGGTATAAGCCGTTCATCTTCCTTCACACGCTAACTTGTACTTTCATATCCATCGCAGAGCCCTTCATATAGCTGTTGTGCAGAGCGAGATGCCTTTCGTCCAGATGCAGATCCGCATTCTTCTGTCGGCTCGCCGAAACCTCGACATCTACAACAACCTCCATCAGGTAAACTCAGTCACACACTCACACACACACACACACCATACTCAAAATGATGCATGACTGCACAGGCTAAGCTCCAGTTAATCAACCATATAAAGAACAATAAAACAAACAGCTATTTATAAACCACAACTGGAAAGTGCAATTAAGGGACTTCTGCTGTGACAACCACACCATTCCAGTCACAATAGCACCGAGGCTTCACCCTTCAGATTATAGTAACTGGGAAAAGAATGAAAGGGGAAGCTTCTTGGTTTCCTCATTGCTTAGCAGTCATCTGTCGTGTACTTTTACAGTAACACAGCACTGGTGCTGCGCACAGCTGTGTGGTGGAATTCACCCTTCCTGGTTTCTTTACCTGCCTCAACTCTACCACAGTGATTGTGTCCTCTAGTGTCCTCGGTCGTTTTTATACTGTAAATGATTCTCGAGTGCTCACTTACACAATCACGCTTTTGTCAGTTTTTTTTTTGTTGTTTTTTTTTTAAGTTTTCAAAGGATGTTTGATCATAGTATAGGACTTTTTTGATTGGCTGCTGACTAAAAAAAAAAAAAAAAAAGGATGTTCATACTGTATCTTGTGACTTGTGAATTTTTTTTTTTTTTTTTTGAACTAGCTGAAGACGAAATTAAGAATTGCTCTGGTTTCATGTTGATCAAGGTCAAAGAGCGTTTCACAGTATTGCAATGAAGAGGGCTGGCTGACAACTAGGAAACAAAGTAACTGTCTTGGTGAAACTTAGATCATTTGTATCTGGCTTTTTCACGGCACTGACTGAGGTTATTATGAATCAGCACCAATTGTTATGCAAGCGCTCTTGACAAAGCAAGAACTTATTGACACAAAGGACACCGTGAACTAACACAGTTGTGACCTGCGTATGCACCTTCGAGCTACTCTGGGCGTTAGCTCGCAGGATTCCCAGATACCATCTATTTCTGCACATTTCTCTATATTTTTACACCTCTCCTCCTGCCCCGGGGGGCGGTCAACTTTTCTTTTGTTTGTTTTCATACCTTTACCACCAAGATGTAAGAGAGCAAAAGACGCGACGGTGTGTGTGTGTGTGTGCGTGAGAGAAAAAGCTCAGTGACAACACCTTAGTTGCGCACATCTTTGTTCTCACAGTTGAGGTTTTACACCACTTAGACACCGTGAGCGAGATTACCAGAAACAACGTTGGTTATACCAGCCTCTAATGTCTTTCCTCAGAGCTTCAGGCTCGAATGCATCGGTTTTATTATATCCTGTCTGTAGCCTGTGTGTGAAAAAGTACACGAGCTAGACACGAGCCTGTGCAGAACAAAAACCAAAGAGGGAGATTTTCAGAAAATGGGTCCTGTCAAAAATCATTTGCCTACCAGATTGTGTGGCTTGTGACTTAGTGCCAGGCACAGGTTTGAGCTTATATAATAATGGTCATGAACCTATTTAATCATTATTATTATTATTATTATTATTATTGTTATTATTATTATTATTATTATTATTATCAGAACAAACACTTCTAAAATGCTGCAAGGAAAACATTCCTGTTCAATTTAATGTTGATGACATATTCTAAAGTTTCTGTGGTTCTGAGTGTTAGTATCAGTACAAAAACTGTGGTGCTCAGCATGACGACAGAGACGTGTTTTGATACTCCCACACCGGTCATCCAGGCACGAAGGCACTCACACTTACGTTTGGTTGGTTTAAAAAAAACAACAAAAAAGAAAAACTATGTAGATTTAAATGAAATGTATTTCTTATTATTTTCTAATTATAGGCCATTATTTAAGACATCGACGCGCTTCTTGGGTACAGTATGTTTGAGTATGTTATGGGCCATGATAATAAGAACAATAATAACAACCAAAACAACAACAATAAAAGCAATAATAATAGACAGACAGATAGATAGATGGAGGCATGAATGGATGGATGGATGGATGGATACATAGATAGATGGATGGAT